AGTATGAGGTTTCACTTAAAGCTAAGAATAAAAACTTAAAACACAACTCTCTCACATTATCTACAGCCTCAAACTGAGAAGTCTGACTGAGTATCAATCCAGGGCAAATCATGCAAATATTTATGAGTCCGTTTCAAATCTTAGAGCTGCTTGAAATTAAGTATATAAGTTTTGTTGCTTTGAAAGCTGTTAGCCYTTATTGAAGTTTCTATTACGTAAGTCTTTACTGTAATCAAACTGTAGCAGTATTAAAAAGCTTTCTCAACTCTATCTTTTTTCTGCAATAATCTGCAAGCTTTTCCAAAAATACAACCTGCCAGACAGTACAGTCTGTGCTGTGCCAGGTCTATTGTCTATTTTAACAATTCCTTCTTTGTCTTCTTTTCACCTTATTGTAAGTCTGTTCTTTATTTATTTTTTTTTTTTTAATTAAATTCTGACTGGCACAGATTTACTGTGAAAGACACATTTTCAGAGCAGTTGAGACCCTATTTTCTTCTCCTGTTTTGGGGTGGGGTAGAGGGACGTTAAGTATATAGAAATAAAAATTACTAATTATACCCTCCACATTTCCCATTTATTTGGTTCTTAATGTGGCACAAGTGACTTTTTTGTTTGTGTAGCATCTTTTTAACAAAAAATGCAATATATCCTCTATTGTTAATGGAACAATTAAGGTATAATTAGAAAAAAATTAGTGAATGCAGTGAGGTCAACATTCAGATTTTAAAGAAACATATGAAAAGTAAACTTTTAATGCCAAATATGAAATTCATGAGAGAAATTTGAATCCAAGAAATTTACAAAAACTCATTATCCGATGATAACCACAACCAGACAGTTACAAAACATTTGTACCAACTAGCGAGTTAAAACAATTACAAAGAAACAAAAKATTCAGGAYRAGTACTTAGCAGGAGATTGTGGAGMTCAYGKTAATTCACAGTTACTGTTTCCCTAGGACAAAATACGGGAAAGATCTGTTGTTCAACTTTTGCTGCTATTTCRATGTGCTCTGTATTGTAAGAAGGATCAGAGAACGCTGAAAACATCTGCTTCCACAAAATACTCTTTCTTTATCTGTCCATTAAACAAGGAAGAGAGATAAGAATAACCCTGAGAACACATAGGAACAAGCCAATGAACAATAGAAAGTCTTAAAAAGAGAAACAGAACAAGAAAAAAACAAAGCGGATGGGGATGATATTCCTCAGTAAATGTAGAAAGAAAACAATTATAGCTAACTTAAGCTCTTTGTGAGTGATTGAGTCTTTTGTGATTTAGAGGACTTGTGATATATTGAAATAGAAATGGAAAAAATTTCCTGATTACAGCAAACTGAAGCCCCGAGTACATGCAAACATTAAGTTTTGCAGCAGCACAATAATCTCTTGTTATGCACTTGTATTTTTYCCATTACCATACAGTAAATTTGCAAAGAATAGAACATATGGTGTGCATTCTTGGGTTTTGTTCCTGCACTGCCAGCGCTCCTAAATGGGCTTTTCCCATTTCCAAATGCTGACTGAGAACATTAATACTCTAGTTTGATTTCAAATCCTTTCCTAAAAATTGTGTTTTACCCTTTTGACTCCTCAGATAKAAAGAATTAATCATGTATTTAAGTACCTAAGATTACAAGAAAATCAGTGAAATTATGTTTCTATTTTCATTCCTACTTTTTATGTAGTCAACAAGAGTCAGCCCAGCAAATACTGATAATATTCCACTGAACACATGCATGCAAATTTTACTGACTGGGCATATAATGTATTAGCCTCAAATTTAGCTACATCTCTATATTTTTCTTTTTAGGGTATTATCATTGAAATTCATCTCAAATTATTGTACAGCTAATTACCTGGGCTGGCCAGAGCCCGTAGTAGAGATTCTTTAGAAATGACTGCTGCCTCCTGACACTGAAAAAATGTTCAGATCACTGTCCTCCAACATCAAAACACTAGTGTTTTCAGATAGAGAAATATTCTTTTTTGTGCTTCTAATAARCAATGTTGAGGATTACTGAATTTTAAAATCTGTGTATTAAGATTTTAAACAATTGGAAGATTATAGATTTGTGATTCCATGCATGGAAGAATTTTATCAGTCTGCTTTTGGTACATGATCTATTAATGTTTTTTCTTGTAAAATTAAATTTAATAGCTAGTTACACAAGACAGAGGGCTGAAACCAAAAATTTAATTAGACTCTGACAGTATTTCACCTAACTCATGCTAACATCAGTATTCCTGTTTTTTTCCCAATGTATAGTAGCTTAAATATCTGTGGTTTTTCTTTCAGCTGTCCTTATTCTTCAACAGCTGTACTTTTTTTAAAAAGATGAGCATAAGAACTGTTTAGCACACTCTTTCTTTTTGCATAAAGAAAAAAAAGAGAATTTAACAGAAGATTGCACTAGGGTGTTACTCTAAATAAAAGGTTTTAACAACCTAGAAATTAGGGCAACACCTCCTAATTATTTACTCTGATACTACATTTTACAGACCTAAAGCTATGTGCATGATTAGGACTTATAATTTACTGCACTTTGCCTTTGTCCAAAGGCAAATGATCCTTCTTGATCATCTTTTCTTTTTGAGGCTGGAGGGAGAGACAGAGRGTAGATGCTGGAACAGGTTTAGAAKCAAAATCCTTGAGAATTCTCTCTGGTCAAAGATTAGTTACTTTTGCCAGCTTTCAACTACTAAGCCCTAAWGCCCAGGCCCCCGTTGTGTGTGCAAGACAGTGGATTCCAAGTTACAAGCAATAAATACAATTGCAGTACATTTATACAGAAGCAATTACAATACTCTTTACCGTGGACTTTGTGTTATGAAAAGATAGTTTATAGGTCCATAGTTTACTTTAAAATACCAATATTTTCAGAGTGAAATTGTCCCCAGTGGGTTAAAGGAGCCAGTTTGTGGAAATGAGTCTGATAAGCAGTTTCTCTCATCAAAAGCTCTGAATTCACACTAACCCTTTTCTCTTGCATTTATTCCTGAGGACACTCCCTCCCCTCCTTGCAAAAAAACTGCCTTCAAAAATTTCTTTRTCCTTCCCTGGGGAAGGTCACAAGGCAACAAAGTGCTGCCACTCGCCCCATTCCCCCTGCAGCCCTGCTGCAATGACCAAGCCGGGGTCAACCAGGGCAGAGAGGGACCCATGGGTGGCTGTGGCTGCTGCAGAAGCAAGGGCACAGCCCTAACAACTCATCCTACAGCTTAAAACCCATATAATGATTTCTTTGTCTGTGTTTTCAAGATGTGCAGTCAGGATTAACACGTACTCGGGAGGAGAAAAACAAAAACGACATCAAAACAAAAAATGAGGGAAATCTTCACCCACGAGGAATTACAAATGAGAAGTTGCTTCTAAAGTCTTCAGCAGGAAAATGCATACTTTCTGGGATCTTTTTTGTGAAGCTGCTAATGTTTGGGATTTGCCTGGAATTTTAATTAAGGCTGCTATTTAACATTCATAGTGCACCTGTGCCTAGAAACCAAGCAAACTGATGCCCCAAAATTCTGGGCACTAATTTAAACTACAGTTTTAAACACAAGTGCAAAGCAGGCCAGTAATTCTGACTTTAATATTTTCTAATTCTGACTTTAATATTTTAGTACATTTCTAGTTTTCTCTCATCCTGAATCTTAAGGAAGATACTGATTCTTCAATTGGCATAGATTACAATGCAACCCATGAGAGTTCAATATCTGAGATCTCATCCTTTGCTAATATCATCTAGCACGTCATCTAACTCAGTAAGAACACAGCAGTTATTCTGTTTACATAGCCTGATTATTGCAGTTGCTCTGTTTGGCAGTTATTAGAGTGTTATTGCTACATTTAATGATACACCTGCTGCTGGCCTGACTGTTGTGCAGCGCAATTCCTGCTTATGAGAACTTAGATGTTCTGTATTTTTATATTACACTTCCACTACTACCTGCACTACAAAACAGTTTTTAGGTTAACCTGAAAGACTTGTAAAGGAAGAAAAAAAAATTAAAACCACACACAATTATTATTTTCAAATCTGTTCCAAAAAAATGTAATGTTTAGGAATTCTGAAGACTTCTGTCAAAAAAAAAAAAACACCCCCCCCCCAAAAAAAAAAAAAATAAACCTGGGAAGTTTCAATGACTTTCAAAAAAGTGTGACTTCTACCTGTGTTTAGAGAAAAACAAATTGATGCTATGAACTGATGGGTTAAGCAATTTTTGTCTTGGTGTATAGGTTTAGGAAAGCTGAAAATAATTTCTCAAAATTCTACCTGGCAGACTAAAATATTCCTACAAATACAGTATATAGGCTGTCAGAGACTTGCCATGGTCAGGATGTGGACATTCAAATAAATAGCAGAATTTTCATAATAGATATTATTTAGCAGTTCCAGCAGACTTTATTAGAGTAGTTACACTTGAAAGATGCATGATTTTTTCTTTCTTTTCTTTTGTTTTACTTTCTGTGTAATCCAAGAAAAGAAAATATCATGGCCTTGAATAGCTGAGACACCTATCTCCCTCAGGGCTACCTTGCTCCCACCACTCTTGAAAATTCATCAAAGATGCTGGAGATACTCAGTTCATCTTTCCATACACACTAGTCTGACACAGGAGCTAAAGCTAAGTAGGGCCAAAGCAGAGCACTTGTTTCTGCATTTCCATCAAACCAGCACTGAAACCTGTCAGGCATATTTCACACATTTACATTCATTCACAGCTTCGGAATCTTGATCTAGTTTTTTTATTAAAGTAAAATGGGTTTTTTAATTAACTTTTTATTTAAAATAAAACATTTTTTTTTTCCTCACAGCACCTGTTTGTAAGGATTATCCTTAGTTCAGTGTTATGTCACTATTTAATTTAATACAGCCATTTTATCATGAGAGTCTTTTTTGTATTGACATAAATGTTTTGGTTTAGATGTTTACAGCCTGTTGGAAGCCAAACTGTGCAGATGTACATATTTGCTACCTTTTTGTTTGTTTTTTTCAGGTAATATCAAAATTGTCCAACAAGCCTACACTATCCCAGGTATGTGGTTCACATTTTAACTGTACCAAGCTTGACTTTGAAACATGCAAGTAATTATGACCTGAAAAAAGCTTGAAAACTCCTTCCTTTCCTCTTGAAAACAGGCTTCCATTGCTTCAGAAAGAGAATTTAAATAGCATCCTGCAGAGAGGTCTGCCACTGCCTGTTTTATGAGTAAYAGCTTATGATCTTTTTTTCCCAGGTGCTAAATTTGGATATCCTATTATAGCAACTGCATTTTAAATACATGGCTACCTAAGCCAAAGTTTTGAATATGGGTAACGTTCATTGTGTGTAGGGTTTAGRCTGTATCAGTGCCAGGTCCTGTACAATTTGATCATCATGACAGCATTTGGATCACTACTGCAGTTGACAGCAAGACTTTTATATTTTATAAAAACACATTTTCTGTCACTGCTTTAATATCTTACCTCTTTATATATGTGTATATATATATATATAAAATTAAAAGATCCCAGTTTGCTAAATCTGTCAATGTATACGGAAAGCATATATTCAATGAAAGTGTGCTGTAACAAGCAGCAAAATTAAACCTGTGCTGAAAAACATTTAGACAGATGTTAATAGGCGCTTAGCACCTATAAATGCTTCAGGGTTTTATTGGATAAATTTGCCAGATCTGTATTCCCACCCAGCCAGTCTGACTTGGCCTGAATGTGGGAACACTGACTCTGCAGGGTCATCTGAGGCTTTCTGTCTAAAGCTAACAGTGCCTTAATCAAGCTTGATTAAGAGGAATAGCCTGTNAAAAAAAAAAAAAAAAAAAAAAAAAAAAAAAAAAAAAAAAAAAAAAAAAAAAAAAAAAAAAAAAAAAAAAAAAAGGAATTAACAACAACTATTTTTGAAACCATAAAGTTGCATTTCATTCATTAATTTAACCTGGAAGCTGAGTCTGCCTTAGGTCATTCACCTACTACCAATATCAGAAGTTGCACCATGGAAAAAAATGTAATTATTTCCATTTCCAAACCTAGTTGAGGTCTGATCCTCGCATGAAGTCCATGTTGGCATATGCCAGCACTCATGACCAGCATATTTTGTTACCATGTAAAAGTAACATTGATCTCTAACATTGTGCTTTAATTAGCCCATAATGTTCATAACCCAGGTCTGTGTTGCCTCTAAACTTCCTTGGTTCCAACATCAATCATCTAATTTTTTTTTAAGCCAGATGTAGCTTCACTTTCTGATGACTCAATTCTGAAGCTAAAACTCATGCTAGTGGTGCATTGGACTTYGGGTGAACTGAAAAGTCTGTCTACCATCCCAGCAGTGACTTCAGTTACAAAAATCAAGCACACAGAGAATACTGGGCTTGAGCTGAACTGGTGTAAATGCTACTTATACATTATTAAAGGTTCCATATGAAAAAGTGTTATTATCTGAATTACGAGCCTCAGATCTTTTCTGTGGACCATGAAGAATCTGGTAGCACAACATTCAAGAAATAATGCCTCAGCTAAACAAAATTAATCTTCTCAAGTGTGCATATGGCAAATGGCTTGTAAGAACTAGTCATGTACCCTGTCTTGGTAACGAAACATATTGCAGYGGATTTGCTCACTGTGTCACGAGTGACGTTTCCTAATTTGTTTGTGTTTTTCTTGTGTCTGCACAGACAGACATAGATGAGGCTATGGATGAGTTCCAAAAGAGCTCTCTCTCATGAAAACTGAAAGCTGGGCTAGATTTGGATTTGTTCCAGGATAAGCACCAGAAAAAAAATGGTGTTCCTGCAGCGTCAGGCTCTGAATCTTAYGTTAGCATGTATTTTTTGTTATTTTAGACAGAGCTCAAGGGAAATGGAAATATAAAGAAAAGACTCCCTTCAATTGTGGAAGATGAAGATGAGGAAGAGGAAGGAGAYGAAGAAAGCAACACCCTTTCCCCAATTGATACACGAAGCACAAAYAGCTCTCAGCAGAAGAAGACTGCGAGCAATAAAAGCCACCTAGGGAGAAACTTGAAGCAGCTGGCCTCAGGAACTGTGCCCTTTCATTCCCCCATCCGYGCTTGCAGTTCAAACCCCTCAAGAGCCAAACACGAAACAGAGCTCCATTACTACTCCAGAAGGAAGGAGAAAAACCTTAAATTATACCTGTCAGCACTGACCACCAGTGGCCCACCAGATCTGAGCCCAAGGTAATCATTATGAATGGTTTTTTTCTTCTCTGTAATGTAACTGCCATTAAAAATATCATTTTATACTGTAAGAGTAATTCTATAATAGTTTATACTTCTGTTCTTCCCACATTATTGTAGGAATCATAGCACACTATGCAGGATGACTTTATGACTTTAGAACTTTATTGCAAACTAAAGCAATTTTACCCATTAAAAAGAAAGTAAAAAAAAAAGAAAAAAGAGCAACTGCAAAAATGACTATTTAAATAGTCTGGCCATATGGTATAAATTTGTCTATAATATTAATTCCCACAATAGCACTGTGAAATATTTTGAGTCCTTCAGAGATAGAAAAATTTAGAAAGCAAATAGATTAAATTGTAGTATAACCATGCAAATATCAAAAATTACTGGAGTAGAGGACTATAATGGAAAACTATTGCCCAGCARTTTTAGAAAATATTTTGAGGTCTTTTTCATTAAAGACAGGAAATCTGATGATGGAAATTATGTAGACATTAAGTATAGAGTTTAGCAAATCTGTTTTGCTATGTCTTTTGGCATAAAGAGTCATATAACGGTTTATTGTGGTATTACTAATGAAATATAATTTAAAATAGTTTAATTTTTAACTTGTATGCTATTTACAAGTAAATTTTTGTAAATTGTTTCTAAGTGTTGCAATGTAATCCTAGTTTTGGGACCAATTCTTCAGAGAAATCACAAGCATACACACCAGGAGGTGCAGAAGTTCATCTTCCAATTCAAGTTTTGTCTTGGTTCACATGTTCAAGCCCTTCCTTTATCCATTAGAGGCAGAGCACAGTTTACAGAATTTGCCATTGCAAACATGAAATAGACACAGCTTGAGCAATTTTTGTTTAKAACATTTGTTTATAACTCTGTCAAAGTACCAGTTCCTAAAGATGTGATCACAAAAAGGACATGGAAGATTAAACAGAAGCCTTTGCTCCTCATCATACATTTTATCAGTATAGTGACATTTCAAATAGCAGGATACAAACCAATTTCAGTTTTGTCATAAAACCAGAGAAATCAAAGAATCATTAAGGCTGGAAAAGACCTCCAAGATTGAGTCCAACCTCTGACAAAACCCCTCTAAGCCAACTAGACCGTAGCACTATAGGCCATGTCCAGTTGTTTCTTGAACATTTGCAGGAATGGTGACTGCATCACCTTGCGTGACAGCCCATTCCAATGGTTGACTATCCTTTCTGTGAAGAAATTCTTTCTCATTTCAAATTTGAATTTCCCCTGGTGCAGCTAAGGCCATTTCCTCACTGGAGAAGAGATCCCCTCCCCCTTATTTTGCTACAAACTCCTTTCAGGRAGTTGTAGAGAGTTGCCTTTTCTTCAGACCAAACCACCATAGCTCCATCAGCCACTTCTCACAGGACATACTTTCTAGATCCTAAATAGAAGGTCAGTACCTGGGACAATAATGGAAAGCAGCTTCTAGGCAAGCAAAATTGAAATGCATAGTGGATACTTTCTCATTTGTTTCCTAGAAATCATATCAATTTGGTTCAGTCAGCTGTGAGTAAAGGTCATTATCATTCACATAACAAGTGGTAATTCAGGGAAAAGCTACTTTTCATAGTTTCTGCTGAAATGTAATCTTGCTCATTATTGCTGAAAACTTATGCARCCAGAAATTGATACCCAAGGCTTCAAAACCAAATATGTGAAAAGTATTGTTACACATATTGGTTTTTTCTTGTTTCCATTCATAATTTTCCAACTGCAGAATAATTCCATTAATAGGCTAGAAAAATGGCCTAAGGTGTATTTTTTTCAACCCTTTTTTGCAGACAAAATATTTTCCTATTATTTCTTAAAATGGTTAATATTATTGTAATATTTGAATTGAACACTTAATGCCACTTTGAAAACGTAGCCTTAAGTAAGTATTAAAGAGAAAGTAAGACCTCAATTAAAATCCTCAATTATATTTGGTGTTGGACAACCAAGGAAGGCAAGGGAAAGCAAAGATTCTGGTTGAAATATCCAGTCAGTGCTGTTTTGAGGTGCATGACCACATTTTCTCAAAAGAATTGAGTTTTTCTGCTTATGCAACTTGTTTTACTSTGGATGTTTCCTAGAGCAAGCCAGCTAGAATTCTTCATAGGGGCTTCAGGTTCATTCCTTGTGCCCCATGGTGAAAGCAATAAAGCCCAGAAACTTGGTCAAATTTTCAAAGATGTCTTGGTGCAAGGAACAGAAGTTAGAATTGTGACTTCTAGAACAGAGCCCTGGTCTTCCCAATCACCTTTTGGCTGCTGCCTGTGAAATGGAGAAGCACCAAGAGGAAGATAATGTAAGTGAAAATAAAGGCAGACCTAGGAGGTGTTTATGTAACTGAATCTCCTCAGACCCACAGAGGGAAGTGCACTCTAGCCCTCAGMAGCTGGATAGAAGAGGTCTCATGGTGGTCTTTTCTGACTTTTTGGCTTCTAGGAGTGGARTTTTCTGTCTTCAGGAGAAAATTCAGGGCTGTACAACAGCTGATTCAGAAAGCATTGAGATCTACGAGTCACTCTTGTCCCCTCACGTTTTCAATTTACTAGGTTTTGCAGTTCCCCAGCCAGTTCCTTTTATATGAATAAGMAAATTGCACATTACATATTTCCCACATAGCAGCCTGGCATTTCACAGCTATTTTTGCTAATAGAATTCTTTTTAGTCTGAATCTTTAAACACTTTAACTAATGTRGCGCTTATAAATTCCAAGTCACATCTGAGTAAGCTTTCTCCTGTGTGCTTTAAAGGCAGTTAAAATGTTAGCATTTAATATAATTAGAAACCTCTACAAAAGGGATATTGGTGTGTAAAATTTGTCTTTTGAAGCAGTGAGGCCAAATGACATTAAATAGGTTTTATAGCAAATTTCAAACAAAGTAATCATTCAGGTTTTCAACTGCAGATAGCAGTATCAGCCAGGGCCACTCAAGCACCACATTTGAGTCTCCTCTTCTACCAGAGGCTGATTAAGATTAGAATCGAGTCTAGTAACATCCAACTGRCAGCACCAACACTCAGACACAACATGGAGATCTAAACCCACATGAAGAGCCAGAAAAGGACAAGAATGCATGTTTTGCATACAGAGGTTTAAGTTACATTGGTCTTTCAAGCCAAATACATCACAGATATCTCTGTGTTGTTTGTTCTTGCTTTCTCCATATGTTTCCAGTCAATAAGTTTTCTTGAAAATGTCCTTATTAAATGAMAAGTCTAATTTGCATCATCACAAAGTTATCACCAATGACTGACCAGCCAAGAACTTTCTGTCTTAGCCCTTCCAGATTTCTGTTTAACTCATTTGCCATATGTAAGACAAAATATGAAGCTTGTGCCTCAACAAAACAAGAAATTGATGCTTCATATCAGTCAATTGGCAGTTGTATGATTCTCTTTCATTGATTTTAAAACAGTTCTCTTTATAGCACAATTTATTTTAATTGAGAACAAAAAATACTCATAATTATATCTGTTTAATGCTGTGTAGTGATTCCTCCATCTGATATCTGTTTTCTATTCTTTGCATGCAGAATTTGATTATTGTGTAAAATACTGCTTATTCTTTTTCCTTTGGCTTTCTTGACACTGCAAATTAGAGATAACTACTATGCATGGGTAGAAATAACTGGCAAAAATACCTTTTCCAGTAGTGAGATCCAATACCAATATTAATGTAACTGGGACACTGCAGGCTGGTCTGCACATATTCCTACATCAAATTCACAAACAAGATTGCCCTGCCTGAGCTGGTTCATTTTAAACTAATTTAGAATAACTATTTGCATGGAAATGACACTTTTGACYGAGGTATACAGAGATGTTTTCATAAATACATTATGTTCAAGCTTGGGGTCTGCCTAAGTCTAATATGAGAGCTTGGTTATGTGCAGAAAGTTTTGGCTTCACAAGAGCATAGTGAAGCCTCTTTAGGCTGTRCAGAAGAAAGAATAGCAACAGATTACTTTAGATATGAAAACTATATTCCATATAAGCTTGGCTACGAGCCAAAATATGCTGCAAAAGTTATGAAAATTTTGAAACTTTAGTTAATTGTATTTGGCCTCACCTTTGTTCCATTATCAGTAACTCTAATTATTTGTGACTCACAAGAAGTTACGCCAGTGTAATAGTTCTGCTTTCCTCTAAACTTAATGTTGTAGGAAATTTACCATTGTTTAAAAATGTGTCCTTTAGGAGTAATTTTTACAGCATAACTATGAACAYGATGTTTATGAAACTGCTCCATTACTGCAATTTTTCTCAACAGAATTGTCGATGGGATTGAGGATGGGAGCCATAATGAGGAAAGCCAAACCTTTGACTTCAGCTCTGATCAGTTCAGGCAGGAATCCAGGTTATCTCCGACGACTGGAGGTGAGCTTTGCCTGGCAAAATCACTCTTTAGAGAAAACAGTTTTCATAACTGCTTTTTGTTCCCCTTTGTTTCTTTGATCTTCACAARTGGCATAAATAGATTAAACATATATTTGTACTCTGAGTACCATTTCAGTGCCGCAATTGGTACTGTAGAAAAATAGAGCAAGGTTCTAAAGGTCATTTATTGTTTTCCTGCTAATGGACACTCATGATAAAGCAGTTTATGGAGGGAGGGAACTGGGTTTTCATGAATCTTACTTTGCCAGAAGTATTGTAGAATCTGCCTCATTCTCTGTTTAGTATAGGAAAGGTACTAAACACAAGGACAAAATTGAACATAAGAACATTCTAAAACCAATCTGGGAATAAAACAAATAAAACAAAACAAAAAGCCATAAATAAACAAGGAAAAAAAAACCCAAAACAAAAAAGGGAACCCAATTCATTAAAAGCTATATGTAAACTTGGCTCTCAACTCTTTAAGTGGAGGAGTATGGAAGTACATAGATWTTTAAAATAGTGAAAACCTTGAATAACAAGGGGTCTTAGGAAGCCCTAAATGGACTACGCTTTGAAAAGATTGATAAAATAGTACCAAAAACAATGGAACTTTTCAAGATGTAGAGGGGAAAAAAAAGACAAAAAAGAGATATAGGGTCTATTTCCAGCATCCTCTCTTTTACAAGTAAACAGTTCCCGCATACCCATGTACCTTTTTCAATGAGGCAACTAGGACATATATTGTTCCTTTAAAAGCCAAACAGAAAAATAACAATAAAAATTTAGTCATATTTATTATTTTTTAAAAAAAGTCAAGCTGTCATGTGGATGGCAACACAGTTGTCATTTTCATTCCTTTCAGGTCCAGACAGAAGAGAGAAGTATTTATTAATTGCACTTGTCTCACACATTATACACAGAACATTAAACATGTGATTTTATTTTTGTTCTAGTCAACTGCAAGACAGGTTAAAATTTAAAGCATTGCTCAAATGCAAGAATAGTATTGCTGTTTCCAAGTGATCATACTCTTCTCATTTKCATGAATTTGAATTCTTTTCAGAGGCTGAAATTGGTGCTGCTGTGCTCGTTATCAAAGCAGAAGAGACCAAACAGCAGATCAGCAGACTTAATAATGAGGTAACAAGATTTTGTGGGGGTTGAAGGATATTAACAATGATTCAAGGAATGTTGGAAAAAACTCAGAAAACTCAGGAATATGATAAATGTGTTATAAATGAGCTTACAAAACTGGATGAGGTTCCTACATGTAGGGCAGTCTGGGGCTTTTATCTCATTCTGAGATTAATTTTCTACACGAAACCTACATAAAAGTTTGTGTCACGTGCTAGGACTAAACCCAAAGTTAGTGCATCTGATTATTTCTCTGTATTTCATTATTTCTCCAAGTTCCTTCTCTCAAATTTTCTTGTTTTGATGCTTGCTGTACTTTTAGAGAATTTCCTTGAAAGAAATCCAAATCCATTCATTTTCAAATTTACATAAAATGTTTCAAGTCATGTTACCCGTGTCTCCACAGAAAGAAAGAGAAGTTCATCCCATCCTGCTCAGGCAATATGACCTGAGGAATGCAGGGCCAATAGTGTTCAGTGGTGCTTTCCRTTCCTCCCTTCTAATAACTTCAAACCTGTTGAAATCTGCTATCAATCCAACACTAAAGAGATGTTCTGTGGCTGAACAGTTTCATATATGCAGCCCTTGTAGTACTTTACTTTAGCTACAAGATTAAAGCAGAGGACTATATATTCACAGTTATACTGCCAGACTAAAATCTGTTCCCAGCATATTCTGTCTTCAAATGTGAAAAGATTAGAGGCAATATACTTGAGTCTTCTACTTCCACATGAGGAAACACTTAAATAAGTAAGTCCCACGGCACCGTTTCAGTTCTTCCCTGAGCTCTTCAGTTAGCAGAAACGTCAAGTTTTATTTTTATTTTTCTTTCAATACTGTGCACACTTCATGCAGTTATTGTTTCCCATTTACGAAGTATTTGGCTTGTAAACCTTTCATCTGGAGTCAGCTTAACTTGGTTAGAAAACTTAACTATCCTAAGCTAAGAGTGCATGCATGGTTAGTTACTATGAATGAATCACCTCATTTGTGTGACAAATGTAGAGTTCAGACAAAGGTCTCATGACAGATTGAGTATGGGTCATGGAAAACTACATTTTTTTATAGGACTTGGCCAAAGAACTCAAAAAAATCTTCAAGATGTTCATTGACAACAACATTATGTTAGAAAATTACATTTTCTATGCAATGTTTTTGAAASCAACAAGTCATATTGATTCATCCCYATTGAGGACATCCCTAGGAGGATGTATTACGTGGCTATCTTCAAGAGACAATTGAAAAATACATCATGATGATAGATGTTCAAAGGCAGGAATCTTGTGGATTAAACAAATAYTTCAGCTGGAACAATTCTGGGCTTCTCATTGCTTTTCTAATAAAAAGGGATAAATAAATAAATCCCGGAGCAGGGCACTATGTTAATCAAAAGAAGGAAAAAACCTCCCCATCTTCAAGGTAATTTCTCTCCRCATACAATTTTAATTTTACCCTAATGATACAATCTGAAGAAAATGTTATGCAACTTGTTTACTCCTGTTAACATAAAGCAGGCAATATGACTAGATTTAGATTTCATAGGTAATATTCTGGGCTCAAATCCCAGAGATGGATGGGTATCCTCCAAGTCCTCCCATGGATCAAAATTTACATTAGAAAAGCTGCGTGGCTGTAAGGCTGCTTAATTGCATATTTTACATGTACSCAAACATGCCCCATCTGGAGTTGCTGAACTGATAGTACAGATTTGGTACTTCTCCAAATGAGCTGCTGGGTAGCCTTGCTGATATGCACTAGCTGTTGCTTGGAGGTTTTTGTTGCTGTATGAAGTATTGAATATTTGTAGACCCAGTACTTTCATCATTCCGTCATTTGATGATGACCAGTAATAGAAACTTATCACTGATGCTGCAATAGACTTGCAGCGGTAGTTAAAATGCCAGCAGAGTTAGAATTGAAATTTTCCATTCAAGATATGCACTCTCCTGGTGAAGAAAATACGAGAAAACAGGTCACAAGTAGCCAACAGCAGTAAAACTGTCATTAGTACATTTTCTGGTGGAGATTCAGAAGTCAATTAACAAATGCAAAAATAACTGCTTTCATGAAAAGCAATTGTATTACAACAGTTCACTAGTTAGCTTAGAAATATTTCAGCTGTTCATGGGGGGCACAAAGACATGCCTTTCAATTCAGACTTTCAGTACAGTCTGTTGTCAGCAAAGCAAAGCAAAAAGTTACCCCAGAGAAATATCTAAAAAATTATATATACCTAGTTTAGAAATACAGCTGAGCTCTTGGCAGTATTTTAGGTGGATGGCATACACTACATAATTCAACAGACATTTCATTAACTTRAGAGAGTAACAGAAGTCAGTGCCTTGGTTTCAGATTTGTTAACACATTAACTTTAGTAGAAAAAGATGCACAGACTTCCTCTAAAAAGAGCAGTCTCCAAAGTCAGCACAATGTGAGACAAACTACAACACACCCCTAWCTGCTGTTGCATGTCTCCATGGTTTGGCTGCTCAGCCAGTCAACCAGTTTCTTCATTTCCTCAGCTATCCTCACTGCTCACTGAGCCTCAGAGAGATCCAAGCTGATACAGGAATTTTCCTCCAGTTTAATATTGCAAGGTGGAGTGGAATAGAGCTAATTTATCTCCAACACTATTTGTCATTTCCACTTGGTATAATCACTGGATAAAGCAAGCATGACATTCATTATGGTTCAGTACCTTCAGCATAAGGCAGGTGAGAGTTAAGGCTCAGGTTCTTGTTCTGGTAAAACCACAATTATTTAAGCAATCATTTCAAGATTAGGTTACTGAAAATCAGTCAGCATTGTACATTTGCTGAGCTGGGGAAAGCTTAATTCAAAGGCCAGCTCCAAACTTGGCAGAGTAAGAATTCAGGAAGAGTTTTCTGCCTTACGAGTCTGTGTCCTTCCTTTGCAGAGATCTGTACACCTGACCTGGCCTTYCCAATGCATTTATCTGCAAAAACTCATCAAATGGGTGTATCTGAACATCGAACATATTTTCAGAGGCATCATTTACCATGATGCCATCGTAGATAACTACTAAGGAGCCCACAAAATAAAAWTAGGAAACCACTAAGCAGATTTTCTGAGGGGTACAGATAGCCAAGATATCTAGGTTAAAGCATCGGCTTGTCACTGTCCCATTGCCCGTATCCTACTGGGCTTTTAGCTCTCTATGATCTCAATGCCACTATATGAAAAGASCACAAAATACTTTGATTCAGTTTGCAAACCCACATCTGAATTATTTAAAACAGAGACCAGTTAAAATAAGAAAATACCCCAAATTTAGTCATATTTTTTCCCTCTAATTGCATGTACACATTCTCCATTCAAAAGCAGGGGTACATGATTTTGAGCTCAGATAAAAAGGCCATCTCATTTAGTGGTTGCAGACAAATTCAGATTGCTTTGTCATGTCCACTGTTTCCCTCAACCCCACTTCAGGACAACCTCCCTGAGCTTCAGGAATCTGGGGGGCTGATTTCATGCTTTACCACATTAGTAGATCCCACAATTAGAGCACTAAAACAGTATAATGAACACAGTACTCACATTTTTCCCATTCAACCAAAAAACAAACAAACATGGAAACATGAATAGGGTCAGGTTTCGAGCTAGATAATTGCCTTCTATTTAGCTCCACATTGGAGCATTTAGTGAAAATCCTGCTATTTTTAATTTTAGGTTTTTCAAATGCAAGTACTTAAAATACTTWAAGCATCTGGCACTTTTGCAGAACAGAGAAAATATGTTCACAGGGATATTTCACTTTCAACTAACAAAAGGAACAATACTAAACAAATATGTTTATTTTCCAAATCATAAATTTCATATATATATTATTTTAAAATCTATTTCAAATCCAGCTGCCAAAAATCAATCCCATTCTCCTCTCAGTACAGAAAAAAAAAAAAAGCATTTTTAATATTAAAAATATATTCAAATTATTATCAGGGCCACTAAAGAAAATTTGGTAAAGTTAATCAGGCTTTCAGTTTTACATAAGGGATACACTGTTAAAGTTCAATTTGCAACTTGAGAATTTATACAATGAACTCACTTGACTTAGAGTAATTAAATACATGTTCTTTTTAATAGGTTCATAACTATATTATCACATGAGAGAAATTGCTTTGCAGCAAGGCTATCCCAGTGATTGGCTTTGTAAAACATCTTTCAATCCAGAGAAATGTGGCAAAAAAAAAAAAAGTGAATTAATGGCATTTACTAATTTAAAAAATTTTAATCTATCCATTTTGGATTTTAGTCATGTAAATTTYACATTAAAGCCAAGACATAAACCCAAGTATCATTTGCATTAAGAAATAAAATCTTTCTAAACCATACATGCAGAGTAAACACACTTTGCCTGCTGAGATTTTTAAAAATATATATTCTCTTTTAGCACTGACATTCATGTTTCCAAAGAACTCCTACCTTGTTGTTTTGTCTCTCTGCTCTCATGCTTTGATGACTGCAGAGAAGCCTTTCCAGCTAACTTTTTTGTTCTTTAATAAGTGTTGGCAGATGAAGGTAACAAAAATAGTTGATGCTCTAAAGCTTAGGTTATTTCTTTTCAAACAGGACACACTGCACACACATGGTATAAGTCCCATATGCTATGGTTTGTCTCTTGCACTTTTCCTTGGTGGAAAGGCACCTGAGACAAAGGAGTTAACCAAGAGGCAGCCATGCAGTATACAAATCAACCAGACAACAAAAACTGACTTCAGATTTGAATAAAAAACGTTAATATCATGACAGATGACGATGATTGTCCAGTTAATGTCTAATAGGCATTTCAAAATGTTCCTGCACTGAAAAGAGCTATTTTCCCAACATCTAAATGTCAGTGTCTGTGGGTATGCAAGTTCACAAGTTCACTGCTTTTTCTTTTCTGCTTAGATGATAAGAAAGAGTTGATTGGTGTTCCACTTCTAAATTCAATTTATTCTGGAAACATGCTATTCCAGCAGACCCTAGTAAACTAAATTCCTTTT